TTTTTTTTCTTCTATAGTCTCTTTATCTTTCTGGGTATATGGCTTTTATTGTACTTCATACCTGAGGTGTGCTTGAGAATCTATAGTTATTCAGAATTGGAAAGCTCCATCAACATAAGCTAATCTCTGTGAAAAAGACCTTTTTCAGAGTACTGTAGTAGGTAGAGAAACATTTTGTTAAGGTAATTTGGGCAATGCAAGTACAGAAATATATCTGGAAAAGCTGCTCTAAGACTATTAGGTGTGCTGAAGGTTGAGGACTATTTGAGTCCTTGGAGATAATGTGTACGAATGAGCTAGCATGCCTGCATTCCAAAGCCTGCATCTGCTGTATTTAACAGCTGTAAAATTAGGGAGTTTTTTTAAGAATCTTCTTAAAACCACGGAAGCTGAATGAAGTAGATGGAGATGCACAAAAACGTCAGTTAACCAAGTGGGAATATCATCACTAACACTGTCATTTCTAAGCTGAGGCAGTTACTGGAGGATGGATTTTGCCTGCAGTTGCTGGTGTTTCTTCTATAATGTTTGTGTTCTTTTGCAACTGTTTACGTGGATATGCTTCCTTTCTGTACTTCAGTTTTGTCTGGAGCTCCTTCTTCATCAAAAGAACTGCAGAAAATAATTGCATAAAGACTTTTTTTTTTTTTTGAGTAAATTTGGGCTCTGAGCAATTGTGATACATGTTTTGCTGTGTAGACATCAGATCCTTGCAATCTTTGAGGAATTGAAAGGAGCTGGGAATAAGCAACCAGAAGGTGAAGGGAGAAGAGTTTTGCATTTTTTGTGATTGTACTAATTTAAATTTCTGACAAGGTTATGTCATAATATGGTAAATTCCTTCCCTGCAGACAAAGAAGCCTATTTCCCTTTTTTGATAAACCTAAATTTAGATCTTGGCTGATACAGTTTTTACAGCTTGTTCCTGACTAACAAAATAGTACATCTTTTTGTGCTCTTTGAAGAGACTTACATTCCTGGGAGTTTAAAAAACCAAACCAACAGAATCCCTTCAAAAAAACTTCACACATGAGAGAAGGCCTTATTCTAATTAACTTTGCAAAACAACTCAGATTCTCTAAAACTTGTACGGATGTATTGATGTAACAGAAAAACTGTTCCTATATATCATTTAGGGTAATGGAGCAGTATATTACATTAGCTGCTGTTTTCTTGAAAGCCTGAAGAGAATAAAGGATAGACTGTGAGAAGACAAATTTTATTGTTGTTTACCTTCTTCAGGGAGTAGGTTTGATGCACACATGGTACATTTTCAATGGTGTGGTGTTACCACAAGCAGTGACTGTTCTTCCCTCTATCTCCCTTACTGCATTGCCCCACTGGGGGCACAAGCACCCAAACCCTTGCACCTTGCACTCTGCCTAAGCATCAACTATGACCAAGGTGGGAGATGACTGGGTGATTCTATTTTTTCTTAATGTAGCCATGTTACATTCCAGCCACACGGAACTGATGTGGATTCTAAGGCAGAATCTTGGGTTGATGCAACAATATCAGTGACAGTTGTGATCTGTACCTTGGGGGTTCCTCTTACAGCACAGCTGAGTGTGGTGTTGTATCCCGCAATCACAGAACGGTTTACTAAAGGGTGAGTGAATTTGGGAGGTTCAGAGAAGTCATGTTCTTTGTAACTAGGTGGCTTATAAGTGGTGCCTGCAATACAAAGAAACAAAATAGTAAGAACCGTGTTCTCAGTTCTGCTGACTTGTGTACAATCTATCTGCCACTTATTTTGCCTGTATGATTTAGAGACGCTGCAAAGATTTTGGCATTTGTGTTATAACAAAGCTTTAAATACACTTCACTCTAAAACATATCTCATGTTTCATGTGTTAGTTAAGGTAAAAGGTCTTGGCAATTGTGGGTTTTCTTATTCTGTTAAAAATACGATAGCAGGGAAAAGATGCATTAAACTTTTAACCCCAGAGTGTAAATATAATCCCCCAGTTGTATTATTTTCTTAAAATGATATAGTTTAGGAAGACTCTGTGATTAAATATTTTTAACAGATATTTGTATTAGTACAGGAGGTCTGCCTAGATAGGGGTTCTTGATGCTAAAATTCTTTAGAAGTGCTAGTTACTAAATAATGAAAATGTCTTTAGTGGTGCATTTAGCAAGACTGTATTTTTCATTTGCCAGTGTATTATTTCTGGTACTTAGTGGCTTTTGTGATCTTGGTTTTGAAGAATATGTTACCTGTTTTTTGGATGTGGGCAGGATTTTTGGTGGTTGCAGCAGTTTCACTCAATCCACACAAATTT